ATATCAAGGATTGTAGGTATCAAACTTTCTCCGATGGATCCTTGAAAATTTAACCAAAGGTGGTAAATTGGCCCAATTGTAATGATAAATGTGGTAAATTACTACCCCAACGGTCCAACAACTATCAAATCAAATGGGTTGGGCTCAAAGGTCGAAGCACCTCTAAGAAACCAATTTCTTTTATCTTATGCGTTTTTTTATCCAATCACACTACCAAATCAAATTACAAAGTTTACTTATATGTTAAGAGAGTGAGAGTTTTCTTGTCTTGGGATCATAATTTTTAATTTTATTTGATACATTTATGTGACGGAAAGGATTGAACTCGCTGCGAAAGTTTACGAGTTATCAAGAGGTTATTTAAGCAGGGTAGTGGAATTTTGGAAGAAATTGGTGGCCCATTTTATTAGAAGTAGAATGGGTAATACTTTAGCTTCTTACATATGAATAGTCATTTCATAATTTCATCACACAACCTCAACATCAAAATCGTTTATGATATTTATTAGTATTTAAATATCACGTGTACGTAAATTTATTTAGTTTGAAAACAATTAGTCATCCTTGTGCGTCTAACAAAAATATGACTATAATAATATAATAAATAAATTCCAACCACGAGCTGGTGGCCTAGTGGTAAATGACGGATTACGATACTTTCTTAAAACTAAAAATTGGAGGTCTTGGGTTCGAAACCCGCTGCTTCTGCGGAAGCCAGACTTATGGCTAGGGGAGGCTGAAATGCCTTTGTGAGTCTTCCCGACCCTCGGAAGCGGTGGATAATCATGGCTTGCCACTAGTTGTCTTCCTTTAAAAAAAATAATATATATATATATAACTTCCTCACAATGAATCAGTAATTATATGATTTTTAAGTGTGACAAAGCATCTTTAAATTGATTTTTTTTTAAATATGACCTTTAAATAATTTAAAAAGAAAAACATTTTCAATTATATTGTATAAACGATATAAAAAAATAAGAGTAAACTGCCGATTTCCCCCTTGTAACAACCTGTCCCTAAGTTTACAATTTTATTAATTTTAAAAGAGTGAATTGACGAAAATGCCCATATAGGCAAGAATGTTGACTTTTGTTGACCAACGTATTGTGAGACGTATGAAACATTCTCTTGGTGTATCCTTGTAGTACTCGACGTCACGAACTCATGGACGCAAGCAAAACTGAATTCGGAGTCTTAGTTACGCTTCCTTTTAGAAGAAATAAATTCAAATTTTGCATTTTTTCTACCTATTGCTATAATTGAGTGGTGGGACCCACGTTTAATTCATATTCATTTCTTTTATTATTTTATCTATCACATCCATTTCTTTTGTTTTCTTTAATCTCCACTTTCTATTCTCTTCTTTCCGTCAGGTGCTATCCCTCACAAAAGCTCTGTCATTATCACCCATTTGCCTCAACACTCTAACTCCCCTACTCACACTCTTTTCACTCTCTGTAAACGCAAAGATCCACCATCACCACCACACCTCCGACGAGCTTCAATGAATCGCCACCTTAAGGCCACTACCTGCCATCTTTTCCAAAACTCAAAATCAAGGGGGTCAGACTCTCTCACATCTCCCTTGGACTCCCTACCTTTCTCGATCACTCTATGCTCACTGCATAGAAGTAGCCATGGCGATCGCCGACGTCCTGTTTCACGACCACCATCGTCCTTGTCTCCAACCACCATGTCCTTCTCCCCTGTCGCTCTCCCTCTATCTCAATCTTTTGTCTCCCTCACTTTCTATGTGCTCACGGCGCAGAGGCACCAAAATCATCGCCGACACCATGTCTTTCGGCAACTCCTCATCGTTTCCGATGAAGGTAAGTTTTGAAAACCATCAAAATCTTCATGGATAGTGTTTTACTATACGTTTATAGTGCTTCTTAAGGATTTTGGTGACATTTGAATGCAGAGATATCTCGGGAAGTCTTCCCCAGTTTTTTCGGTGGTATATTTCTTGAGTTGCAGGCCTTTTCAGGCCAGAGTAACTCGGGGAAAGGTATAATCCTAAACTACTCTCGTTTATCTTCATTTTGGTAGGAAGAGTGAAAAATGGTTGAGTTTTGAGCTCGTTTGAAGCTCTGGAATCTCTGCCCAGATTTCGGCGACCGAACCTGCGACAAGGACCAGGTTAACCCGACTGGAGAAAAAAAAAAGCCTAAACCTGGCATCGCCCCAAGCCCACGACCCGTTTACCCTAACCCGAATCCGACCATGGTCAATTTCAGATTTTGGAGGGAATATTCCCTTGAAATATTTTGTTAACCTCCCAGTTAACTTTAACATAATATTCCATTCTCTGATGGAATATTTTGTTAAAGTTAACTGTTGACCATTAGTTGACCTTTTCAAAATTTTCTCGAAAACCCTACTAGGCTAATTTTGATGTCCCGAATTCATTTTTGACATCCATTTAGAGAAATTACTAGGTTTTAACGTAGTTGACTGCTGGGGTGTCTCGATTGACTTTTTAGGGTTGACCATTGACTTTTCGTTGACCTTTCACGAAAATTGCCCGGGATCCCTCTTAGTGTATTTCGACGCTCTGATTTCGAATCCGCACTTCTTTTTCCTAAATTTGATTGTTTAAGTTGAGTTTTACTAATGGGTCCCAATATTATGCTTATATGCGATTACTATCGGAGATTCCGACTTTCTTAGCTCGAAAGGATGTGACATCGCAAGTACCTGTGAGTGGGTTTTTTCATTTTTATGTATATGTAATTTTCCCAACAACTGCTTTTATATATTATGATGTGACATGCCATGTTTAGTTTTACAAATAGACTTTTCGTACACTTTACGTTTTAATATTATTTGTGAGCATAAACTTATGGCATGACATCTTTGCATTTTATCTGCTCATTATTACATGTTTGCATAGTGTCTCTTAGTTATTTGTACTGTCATAGGCCAAGGACTATCTTCACGTGTAGTTCACATGCACCGTTTACATTCATTTTGGATCCACAGTTAGGTGTCAGCCTGTCCTTTTGTGTGATGTTTTGGACTCATATGTGATGTGACTAGCGCAACTCACGTGATGTTGTACTAGAATGTAAAACCTACACTCAGTCTGTTCCATTGTTGAATATCTCTGCAGTGGACTTGTGTGCCTACATAAATTAATGAGCATTGATCTCTTATAATAATGAATTGAGATTTGATGTTGAGATACCTTGTTGTTGTGCCTACATCCTTTAGCTTTCTTCAGTTGCAGGGTACCATTACATACTATTAATATAATATTTTTGGGAAACCATATACTTATTTTACAGCGAGAGATTACACTTTTCGAAAAGGTTTTACAAAATTTTATTTTCAAGGCCACTCACCCTTGTTTTTCACCAATCCATTTAGTGGCAGATGTTTCTTGACGACGAGGATTGTTAGTAAAAGCTGTTATGTAGGAGATTTCTCCTTTTGGTATAAATGTCCTTACTCTTCCTTGACTACAATTTATCTATGCTCTGATATCACTTGTGTGATATGAGTTCAATCCCGCTCGCATGCACACTCTAAATTAGTCATTTTTAGGTTTTAATTTATTCACATTTTCCACATCACTACATTTTATGGCTTTGTCACCTTCCAGGTGTCGGCCAGCACATAGCGATTTGAGTGTCTATGTGGACATTCCGGGTCGAGGTGTGTCACCCTTGCATTTTCACCTAATTTTCAGTTTTATCCCTAAACTTTTAAATTGGAAAATCAAGGACTTAAACTAATTTTTTTGGCCGATTTTCCCCCACCGTAAGTTTTCCATATATTCCATCCAAAATTTTGTTTTCTCTTATCACGTGCACATCACATGACTCTCATTTGAGAATGAAAATGTCACTTCGCTAGACATTTGGACACAAAACCTATAGAATCACACAGATTTGCAAAGGTCAACATTTTAGAAATATAAGATTTTCAATTATTTTAAAGAACAAAGCGACCAAATAACGCTTACATGTTGTGCACGTGTTTTCATTTAACCGCAAATTGGATGAAATGAGTGAAAAACTAACATTAGGGGAAATCGGCAAAAAAAAAAAAAGTTTGGCTAATTATATTAACACCCCACAAATTGTTGAATAAACCCCACAAACTTAATACACCCTACATTTGCTTTTTCACTTAAAAATTATCTTAATACACTCCACTTACTTTCCCATAATACCCCACACCCCACATTCTCAATATATTTCTTATATTTTGTACATACACCCCACATTTCTCAAATCTTATAACACTCATTTTTAATTTTCAGGGATTGAATCTAATCATATGAACACTAAAAGATGAATATGAATATAGAAGTTTAAATAATGCAGCAAACGCAAGATTAAATAATTATCGATGTCATCGAAATCACTAAAACAATGAAAACTATGAAGTCTTACCTCATGTGAAACTCCTGAAACATCGATTTCGTGTTCCATTCCTCAAACAATTTTTCTTAATCAGCATGTTTGATAGTTGAGAAGATAAATAATACGCTAAAAGTGATTTGGGATGTATTTATAAATCTTTATTTTTTTAAAAACCTAATAAGGTCAAAATTATCATTACATAATAGTACAGTAAATAAGTTATTTAATATTAAATTTTAATGTGAGATGCATTCAACATTTTGTGGGGTGTTAATATAAAAACCCAAAAGTTTTAGTTCTTGATTTTCCAATTCAAAAGTATAAAGGTAAATCAAATGTTAGGTAAAAGTTCAGAGGGAGAGATTAGCAGTGTATCCTAAAAAAATAATCTAAAAAAATAATCTTAGATAATGATAACAAAACAAGTTTTATCCAAAAAAAATATAGAAAAACTAATGAAAAGGGTTTGAAAACTTTGAGTTTTAATGATAAGGATAAAATAAAGGGTAAAGTGAATAGTACCAGATTTGACTTTTTAGTGTAAAAATATGATTTTTCGTTAAAGTGAACAGTACCGTGGACTTTTCGTTAAAACTCTCTAAAAATATCTCCATCGGTCCATCTTTGCTTGGAATTGAGTTGAGATTTTTTCTAAATATTTGTGTTCGGAGCAGTTAGATTTAGAAATTCATACCGTTCGGACGGAGAATCTCAGCTTTAATGCTCTATTACAAAATGTTCTTTCTCAGCCACGCTCACATTCAGCGCGTTCAAGACACCCGCATCCACTCGTCGTACTACCCATGTGGGGTCCACACAGTCCTACAGTCCACCAAAATTATTAAATATTTTTTTAAAAATAAATCTGTTTTGTGGCGAAGAGTAAATAAGAAAGAAAGGAGGGTCTGACTCACTCTCGATTATGACCCGACGGCTCTACAAGAAGCTCCGTCTCTCTCTCGTCCCCTGCAAGCCGCGCCTCCGCTTTCTCTCTCCTCCTCCCCACCTCTCTCTCTCCTCCACGCTCCACCTTTGCAAGTCCCTCGCACGCGCCCTCGCCGCCAAAACCCCAGCGCTCTTCTCCCCCCACTCCGAAGTTCACCACGCCATGGACGGTTCCTTCGGCGACGACGCCTTCTGGGACCTCGACTTCCGCCCCCATTTCCGCTCCCAGCGCCCCCGCCTCCACGACGACTACGACGACAACGGCGACAGCGACGGCGTTTTAGGCAATGCGGTTGATAAGGTCTATCTCGTTCCCTACAGGTGCGCTTTGGAGCGACTACTCCCGCTGAAATTCTCAGTTTTTTGGGGATTTTTCCGATTGGGTTTGAATGTCGTTTTGGTTTGATTTCAGGTGGTGGAAGGAGGCTCGGACGGAGGAGGATTGCAATGGAGGGGTCCTGTACACTGCTACGATGGAGGACGACGACGACGACGACGACGACGACGACGACGACGACGCCGCCGCTGAAATTGTACTGAATTTGAAGAAGAACGACGTCGTTGAAGAGGGGTTTTCGGGGCGCGAGTACGCCTTGGTCCCTGAATCAACGTGGTGTCGCGCTCTCATACGGTGAGGACAACTTTTCTGCTCTGATTTCGCAGTGTTTCTCACTCAAGATGCTCTGAATTTGGTTCTTTTTAAGTTGTATTGATTAGGGCAGAGTAGGCTAGTTCTGGGGTTGGAATCCCTCGAAAGGAAAGATAGTGTGTCATTACTCTATTGCTCTGAGGGAATTGCCGGATAACCTTTTTAGAAACTGGTAAATAAGCCTTAGTTCAATTATTACAGTTGCGTACACAAATCTTTGATCGCCCATTTAGTAAATCATCGGCCTTGGATGATATTAATAGCACATCTCCCCAATATTCCAACTTTTTTTTTTTTTTGGTGGAAAGAAAAGGGGTTGGTCCGAGGAGATGTGCTATAACAGCAGTGTAAAACCTCATTTACATCCCAATGGAGGGATGCAAATTTGAAGTGTAAAAACCCCATTTACATTTCCACTGGGAGATTTATTAAATTCGGCCTCGCCTCTTCTTGAACTCATACGACTACTGCTTTCATTTCTCTCTTGAGGTGTATAAAAGGATGTTAATTTTTTTATATATATATATATATATATATATATATATATATATATTACATCTATGGGTCAAGATGGGTATTTTACATTCTCTTAATTTACCCATTGGAGAGCTTCCCGACCAGCTAGAGGTGTATATGTGTTATACATCTCCATATACACCATTGACTGGAGATGCTCTGAGAATGTGGATAGGGTTGAGTTTTAGGCTCGTGCGGGAGGAAATAGAAAAATGCTTTTAATATGTTGTCAGGGATTTCTTTCTTTCTTATCCGCCTTCTCCTGAAGTATTTTAGTAAATATTTATTATGTCTACATGATTTAACAGTGATTTATGCAATCGGTGCTTGGCTTTCTCTCTTTCTCATCCACAACCTCCTGGCTGCCATTTGTCTGCCACTATCTTTCTATTCTTTTCTAGGCAGTGTATTGCCTAAATAGTATTGGCATTGATTTGTCCACTCTTCTTGTAGGCATAATGATTTCAACGCAGCAAAGAAGGATAACGTGAGCTTTTTTGGTGCAGAAAACTTGTGGAAGGATATTTTTTCTCTACAAATTAGGCTATTGGTTTCCTGGGAAACAAATTCATTGTTCGTAAAGATCAGCCAAAAGGTTAGTGACATTATTATGGAAGTTAGATGCTGTATTAGATGAATTCCGAAAACTTTGTTATGGAAGTTAGATGCTCTTGTTCTTTGGGAAGGAAATTGTTTGTGAATCATGCTCTACGTTATAATTAGCATAATCTAAAGTGCGGAAATTTATTTTTGTCGTTATTTTTTTTCTTTTCTTTGTGATATGTATTTGCGGGTTCAAAACATTGTAGGCTTTCAAAGTTGTTGAATCATGCATGCATTCTTCCTAATTTAAATTGACGTAGCAATTTACTAATTCTGTGTTGTGAACTGGAGTGTGTGAAACTGTAGAATGATATGGTTATTGAACAAGATGCTAAGAAGACGAGTGAAAGAGTGAGATCAAGAAGGGGAGTGTGTGTTTTAGCTAGCCCAGGAGTATAGTCCGGATAAGCGATGAACTATTTCTCATCAGTTTATCAGATATTGTATTGGGATTGTTCTGCAATGTTTCAAGGAAATTTTGGTGAATATTTATTTGTCCGGATGGCTTGAGTCATATGAAGGAAGGTTGTTTGAGCTAAGAGGAGTCAGGTTAAGAAATGCATAAAGAATCAAAATATGAAAGCATACTGTTTATGGATTATATTGCTTCTAGTAGTTTGACATTAAGTGGAAGATTTAGCTTTTACAAAAAACTTTCTTGGGATTCTACTGAAATGTGGGGTGTGTAACTTGCATTTTCTTTTCTTAAACCTCGTGTATGTTTGTGACATGCATATGATTCTTACTTTTGTACTTTGGTACATTCTCAGGATAATGCAATAGTCTCGTACAAGAGGGCCTGTAATATTTTCAGTTCAGAGTATGTTCCGGTGAGTTACCTAACAAGTGACACTTAGTCATTTACAACTACTCTGATAATTAAGTGGTGATATTCACTCATTCAAGAATTGATTGGACAGTTGCTTATTTGGGACTTCTCTGGGCAGACAACCCAATTTTTCATGAATGACAGAGTTGATTTGCCAAGCAATATTTCTGAACAGCTGAACAAAGAGGTGAGTGATTAAATGTATGCAACATTTATCGATATATTGATTTCTTTCTCCTTTTCTTGCATCTTTTTGGGTGAGAATCTGATTGGTCTTTTTTGGTTTGGAAACAAGGTTTAGGTTCTCATTAGCATCGTTTAATTTGGGTACTCGTATTTGCACCTTGACGAATGTCAGCACGACCAAGGTTTAAAAAATTCCCTTTCTTTCCATTTCCCCCAAGCTATTTCTATGTTTTAAATTTGAAAGTTCTTTTAAAAAGCACTGTTGTGGCTGCCATGGCCCATTTTGGGTGAGGAGGCGGTCGGGTGACAATGATGCCATTTGTCTGCATTGATTCTTGTTAATGTGGAGTAGATTACATCAAGTCTTGGTTTTTTGAAAAAAAAAAAGATTACATGATGCAATCTTCTCAAGGATCCAAATTTTATAGTACAAATATCTAGTAAACTTAATTTTCAATGCTCAGTGTTGCCATATATGATTATATATGGCTTTCATGCGGATTAAGTTCTACAGTTTACTTATCCTGCCTTTCTTTTCATATTGTCTTTTCAGATTCTCCTTGAATTGCGACTCCATGGATTTTCAGATTATATGAAAGGTACAGATTGGAGGAGCGATGAACTGGCTGATAAAGAGTCAAGTTTGGATGGTTCTACTTCTACTTATGGTGGCTCTATTAAGATGAATGGAACAACTGACTATGTGAATCCTTATTTAACTCCAATTAACTCCTTGCAAAGTGGTATAATCTATAGAGGAGTATGTTCCTTAGGCCTTACTGGACTAGAGAATCTTGGGAATACTTGTTTTATGAACAGTGCCATCCAATGCTTGGTGCATACTCCGAAGCTGGTTGATTACTTTCTAGGAGATTACCGGAAGGACATAAATTACGCAAATCCACTAGGATTGAAAGTATGTGTTTGGAACATTCCTTTAGTTCTCATTTTAAATGTCTGCCTCTCTGTGGCACCTTTCTCTTACTTTGACTATTGCCTCTCCCCTTTGCTATACTTATTTACCAGGGAGAGCTTGCTTTAGCATTTGGAGAGTTGTTGAGGAGGTTATGGGCTCCAGGTGCAAGGCCAGTGGCTCCAACAATGTTCAAGTTAAAACTTGCTAATTTTGCTCCCCAATTCAGTGGCTATAATCAGCATGATTCCCAGGTTAGTTCTTTTTATGTTTATTCTCTTTTTTCTTTCTTTGTGGGAATGTTTAATTATGTTGTGTGGGAAATAGGTTTATTAATTGTAATTTGTTGAAGTGCCTCTTGTAGGAACTTCTTGCTTTTTTGTTGGATGGTCTCCATGAAGATCTAAATCGTGTAAAATGCAAGCCATATATTGAAGCTAAGGATGTAGAGGGTCGTCTAGATGATGAAGTAGCAGAAGAATATTGGCAAAATCACCTTGCTCGGAATGACTCAAGCATTGTTGATGTGTGCCAAGTAAGCATTCTGGTTAAATGCATTTGTAATTTGATGATTTAAGTTTTACCTATACCTTCTTAAAGTAAGTTTGTTGGAATTAACTTCATTCAATTACTTTCACTATGTTGCAATATATGTTCGCTTTCCAACTGTAGGGTCAATACCGATCAAAATTGGTTTGCCCTGCTTGCAACAAGGTGTCTGTTATGTTTGACCCATTTATGTACCTTTCGATACCGTTACCTTCAACATCAATTCGGACTATGACTTTGACGGTCCTAAGCACAGATGGGACTGCGATGCCATCTACACTTACTGTGACGGTGCCCCAGGGTGGGAGGTTGATGGATCTTACTAATGCCTTAAGCACTGCCTGTTGCTTAAGAGATGATGAAACTCTGTTGGTAGCTGAGGTATATTTCTAGAGCTAAATTTGGGGGTATGAAAACTTTGTTGCATGTCATTGGGGCAGGGGTAGGGGTGGGGACGGGGACAGGGTTTTCCGTATGGAGGTGACGTGCATACTAGCTATGGTCATGGGGCAGTTGTGTTGTTGTGTAGACTCTTGATTCTCTAGCACCATTTATTGGCATTTTGACCATTAGGTGGCCTCTTTATGCCCTTTGCATTCTCTGTAGTAAATTCATGCCCATGAATTTTTTTTTTTTTTTTTTTTTTTTTTTTTTTTTTTTTTTTAAAAGTATTTGTAATCTTGTCAAGAGAGGTCGCACTTGGTGCGATGGCAAGTGCCTTCGCCCATGAGCGGTAGGTCTCGGGTTCGAGACTTGGGAGCAGCCTCTTCATAAATGGGGGTAAGGCTAGCCGACATTCACCTCTCCCAGACCCTGCGTAAAGCGGGAGCCTTGTGCACTGGGTACGACCTTTTTATTTGTAATCTTGTCAAGAATCTTCAGTGAAAGATTAACAACTTGGCCTTTGTTTATAACTTTGTAGATATACAAGAGTAGTATTTTTCGTGTACTAGAAGATCCATTTGATTCATTAGCCTTGATCAGAGATGGTGACCTGTTGGTTGCTTATCGGTTACCAAAGGATTGTGAGTCGTCCCTTTTGGTTACTTTTATTCATCAGCAGATGGACGTGTAAGTTGTCTCTTAAATATGTCACTGCTGCTCTATCAATTGCTTTACTCAAATTACTAAATAAAAAACTGAAAGTGATACTGCTTCTGATTTTCTGCTATATTTGTATGTCAAACACACTAGCTTAGTGAACTCAATAAGCAACCTAAAGAGTTTTTATGTGATTGTAACATAACTCGTGGCTTTTTACAAAAGTTTGATATAATAATCTTGTTTACAGGTATAATGAAGGTGCATTGTTTATCTAGTGCAAAGTTGGATATGACAGGACACTTGATGCTAATATGCAAAACTGGCTGTTGGTTCTTAAAAGTTAAACTAGAAATTGCGTTGAAAACATACTCTTTGAGAAATTTTGCCCCATAAAACATTTTTTGCCAATGTATGTTATATTTCATGTAATGCAGATGTTAAGTAATGCAATTAGTTGACTTTTTGAAAAAAAAAAGAGCATGTAATTGATGTCATGATTTGACATCTGTTTTATATTCATTTAAGTTTGAATTCATGGCATAAAAGAATGTCTTATAGGGTGGTACTGGGTTCAGGGGCTACAGTAATGGAGACATGAGCTTAGTCCCATTGGCGTTTGGCGTTCCCCTCATAGCAAGGTTGCCTGATGTTTGCAATGGATCTGATATTTGTAACGAGTTCCTGAAAGTACTAAATCCTTACTTGATGCCTACTGGAGATGCATTAGATATTTTTGATGATGATACTGGAAATTATGCTACTGAAGATTCTAGCAAGGAGGATGCTACTACTCCTACGATTATGGATAATGATGCTTACTCGGACAGGGAATCAGGGGATGAAGCACATTTGGATAATGACTTCCAGTTTTACTTAACAGGTACAAAGGCAGCTACAGAAGACACCTTGATAGAGATGAATGAGCCAATAGTGGTCTCAAAGTTGCCTAAGAGGTTGAGTGTTCTTGTTTTATGGTCCGATAAAATGACTAAAAAGTATGATACATGCCTTCTAAGCAATTTGCCGGAAATTTTTAAGCCCCAATTTTTTGTGAGGAGGCCTCAAGAATCTGTTTCTCTGTACAAATGCCTGGAAGCCTTTATGAAGGAAGAACCTTTAGGACCAGAAGATATGTGGTTAGTATATGCTTTTTATTCAAAATTACGTGAACAAAAATATTTTGCATCTTGTTGCCTGTTGTTTCTTGGCATAACCTGGCTAGTGAGAGAATGCAATTTTGTTAATTACTTATGTCATCTACGCAGTTGGACTTTCCTGTTTTTAACAATTTATTAAATATTGGAGTCAAGTCATATTCCTGTATTAAGTACAGATTTTGCAATGATCTGTTATTTACAGGTACTGCCCTACCTGCAAGAGGCCTCAGCAAGCTAGCAAAAAGTTAGATCCTTGGAGGTTGCCTGAGATTTTGGTTATTCATCTGAAAAGATTCTCGTACAGCCATTATTTTAAGAACAAGCTAGAAACATTTGTTGATTTTCCAGTTCATGATCTTGATTGTTCACGCTACATTTCCCACCAAAGAAGCCAGTTATCCAGCCGATACATGTTGTATGCGATTAGTAATCACTATGGTGGCTTGGGCGGTGGTCACTATACTGCATTTGCTCAAGTAAGTGTTGTTTCGTCCATTGTTGGAAATTCCTTGTGTTTTTTTTTGTCAAAGTATCTCAATTGAAACATTTTACTTGGTGAAATTTGGACTGCCCCGTAGAAGCTCTTTTTTTTTTTTTTTTTTTTTTTTTTTTATAAATTTTATTCATTATATGCATCTAGAGGTCGCACTTGGTGCGATGGCAAGTGCCTTCGCCCATGAGCGGTAGGTCTCGGGTTCGAGACTTGGGAGCAGCCTCTCCATAAAATGGGGGTAAGGCTAGCCGACATTCACCTCTCCCAGACCCTGCGTAAAGCGGGAGCCTTGTGCACTGGGTACGACCTTTATTCATTATATGCATCTATTTCCAAGGTTTTCTCAGTTTAAGGCTTTCTTAAAACATATGTATAATTAGGTATGCGTGAGCTAAAAAATGAGTAAATGAAAAAGAACAAACTGCAACTTTTCAGGTTCTGTTAGTCAGACACTGGCTGGTAATTGATGTGTTCTCAGACGTGATTAACAGGATTGTGGATTTCTTTCTGCAAGCAAATTTGCGTTTCTTTTGAACATGGACCTTTCGAATGACATGGGTTTTAAAACAACAACTTTCCCTTGCAGCTCGGTGATGGTTCGTGGTATGAGTTTGATGATGACAGGGTTTGTCCTGTTAGGGAAGAGACGATCAAGACATCAGCTGCATATGTTCTTTTCTACAGAAGAATACCAAATGTATAATCACCTAGACAGATGTATAGTTAACAATTGGGAAGCAGGTTGCGGGAGGAGGGACGACGGGCGTAGATATCGGAGAGTGATGTTCATAGAGAAATGGAGCAGATGATTCATGTTGTACAGCTTTTAATTCACCTTGTATATATACTTGACCCAGAAAAATGCTGAAATACCATCAATTGTTCAACATTTTTGTCATCTCACCTTTTGGGTTATTTACGGCACATTTTAGCATTTGTAATTCACTCCAGTTTACTTGCAGGCTTGCAGCTACTTCATTTGATCTTAAAATTAAGATCTTGAAGAAGGATGAGCGTTTTTTGGCCGCGGCCATGAAATTAGATAGTTAGGGCCAATTATGAGATCATATTTGCGTTTGTGCTACAATTTGATGTGTGATGGTTGCTAATTTACTTATGTACAACGTGCGTATTTATTTATTTATATAATTGTATCAATTATAGTCTACTTATTATATATCCATCTTGTCATATCACATATTACAATTATCAATTTTTGTAAGATGGGGACTAATTTTCTGAAATCGGTAACATCATTTCAATTAGCAACAATTTGGTCCCTATCTTCCTGGAGTCTCAAAAACACCCTCTTATGTTACGGTGCTATATCTAGGAGAATGTTGAGAGGATGGCGTGGCAATACAATCATTGTGGTGTTATTGTGTCAATGAAAGAATGACGTGTAAATTTTGGTTCAAGTGTTCTTATTAACATTAAGACGAGATGTCACGTAATGGTATACGCGTGCTATATAAGTTGTTTTCTTACCTGATAGGGTGTTGTATTCTAATCCTTATAATTTGACACTTGTAATCAGCATGACAATCAGATACAAACTGTACTAATATATAAATTAGGAGACCATAGTTAATAGTTTAGATGGTGATACATGTAAGTATTGTACTCAAAATAAATGACGAAAGCACTGACAAAACGCCATGTCATATACTAACGGTTTATTTGAGATTAGACTTGGTGGGTTAATTATTATTATATATACTAGCATATGGGCACACACAAAGTGTGAAAAAAAAAATATTTATGTTTTTGAAATAGAAATAGAGAAGGAGAGTGATAGAGAATGTGGGAGTATTAAGTTTTTATTTTATTTATTTATTTATTTTATTTTTAATTAGAGATATGTTATGATTACATGTAAATGAGGCTTTGAAAAAAAAAACAGCAAAATTTGGTAGTGTAAAATTACATTTCTGCTCATTAGAATGTTAAACTGATAATTTCATAAGGTTTTGGTTGACAATGGTGTTTTATTAATTAGTAGACTAGCATATGGGCACACATAAAGTGCGTGAGAAAATTTTTTATTTTTGTTTTTGAAATAGAAGGAGAGAGCAAGAGAGTGATAGAGGATGTGGGAGTGAAGTTTTTTTTTATTTTTTTAATAAGATATTTATTAGGATTACATGTATGTGAGACTTTGAAAAAAAACAATAAAATTTGGTTGTGTGAAATTACATTTATACCCCATATTTCTTATTTATGTTATGTTTTAATTAGAGAGTTAAACTGATAATTTCATAAATTTTGGTTAACAATGAGTTTTATTAATTAGTAATATATAAGGACTGGTGGGTCATAGACCCTAGTTACGGTGTATGTAACAGAGGTGTAGCCTGTAGGTATAGAGCGCAATCTAGTATCCGTCTGTGAGTTGTATGTATGGTGATTCAGACTTGGACTGGGTTCTGCTCGCATACACACGTCTCACCAAACGCAGGTTCTCCCTCAAAGCAACACCCTTGAAGAAACATTCAGAAAAGCAGCCATATGCAAAAGCTGTCGCTAATGGCTGCGCCAATTTCTGGTAAACTCAACTTTTCTCTCTCTATTCTGCTTTCTTTTTCTTACTTTTCTCTGGATAAGTAGAATAAATCCATATGAAAAAGGTCTAAATTTGAGAGATGGGTAATGGGTTCTTGAACATTTGTGATTATGAGCATGTAAGCATTACTGGGTTCCTCCTGGATTTACAGATACGGAAGAGGAAGATGGAGAAAACAAAAAAGAAAGATGTTTATTGGCTGGCCCTAGGAATTTTTGGATACCTCAACCCCCCGTGACGAATGTATAGGCCTCGTTTGGTGCCGAGGATTAGATTGGATTGGATAACTCAGTAGATTGTATGTATGTTGAATGAAGAAATGGATGCCAACTTCCAAATTTTGCACAGGCTGAAGGGTGGAAGATGGACTAGTCAGGAAGGAAACTAATCCCTCGGAGTCCTTTTTTGTGGGGATTTGAAGGATAAGTCCCTTCACGACTAATTCATCTTCCGTCTTCAACTTGGACAAAATTTGAAGAGTCAGCCTACATTTCTTCCTTCAACATTCATTCAAGCTACTCAGTTATCCGAACTAATCCAATTCAATCCTAGACTTTATCCGAACTAATCCAATTCAATCCTAGACTCCAATCGAGGCCACCACAAAGTTTAATAAACATGGAAAATTTCTTAACTACCATAGAAACTTATGTTAGGAGTTGGGGGATAGTTTACAAGGAAAGTTGTGGTTTTTCCTTTTGACAGTCTATTTGTATACCTCGGCTTAGCAAAGTTGGCTAGAGCAGTGACATCCTCTTTCTGCACCCAAGTTCAAATCCCTTCCCTGTAGTATAAATTAGATTATTTAGAATATCGCTCAACTAAAAAAAAGAAGTAATGACAGTCGATTTGTATAGATTCTTGTTATCTTCAGTAATAATTTTATTAAGCTTTGTATATGGTCTAAGTGAACATGAACATGTTTTGTGGGTTCTTTATTGGTTCGTGTTATTGGGCAGCCATTAATGGCTACTAATGGTTGATTTTCATTAGGAACAATACAGGAAGATGCTGCAGTAAGAGGGGGAGATAAGCTCATATTGAGGGGTTTGAAGTTCCATGGTTTCCATGGGGTGAAGCCAGAGGAAAGGAAGTTGGGTCAGAAGTTTGTAATAGATGTTGATGCTTGGATGGATCTCCGGGAGGCTGGTAAATCTGATCGTTTGTCAGATACCATTAGTTACACCGAAATCTATCGGTCAGTAATAGCATAGCATCACCTTTTCATTTTCCATTACCTTGAATACTGACATATATATAATGTCCTAGTTAAGTGCTGCAGTTCTAGCATTTTCGTATTGCGGTCAAATGGTCACTTCAGTTTGCTATGGCCTTGAAAAGTCATCTCTGATATCAGTCTACCCTGATATCTGTCTGTTTCTTTGGTCTTATAAATATGATATGATTATCGTCTTATATCTAAGGTTTTGTCAAATTAATACGAGATCACTTTTGATTTATTGAAATTGTACATGGCAGCATCGTGAAGGAAGTTGTAGAAGGGCCACCTCATAATCTTCTGGAGTCTGTGGCTCAACAAATTGCATCTACCACTCTGAAAAACTATCCCCAGATATCTGCTGTCTCTGTGAAAGTTGGGAAGCCGCATGTTGCTGTTCATGGTTCTCTTGACTACTTGGGGGTTGAGATTTTCAGATACAGAAGTATTGATGCGCCAAAGTGATATTTTACTAAGTCACTCATACATAGGCAATTTATGTCTCCTCTGACTTCCAGACAGGTTTTCGGTGTTTGTTCGTTTCTTTCTTTCTGAATTTGGCGGGGATCCTTGTTATGTAGCGTGAACCAATGCTATCACTGGTTAATGGCAATGCAATTTTTCTTGTGATTCCCCTGAGATTAAAACTAAACTGTACCCTCTATTGATAATGGCCTATAAATGCCCATCTTTGGCACCAATGCTTCTTGCAGGCAACAATAGTCGACCCGTGGGATTAAAACTAAACCTACACCTACAAATGCCCTACCCCCAGCACTTATGGTTCGTACGCCAAACCATGGCTGACACGTGGGATTAAAACTAAACCCTACCCCCTTATAAATGCCCTACCCCTGACAATTGGTTTGTACGGGCAACCATGGTTGACCTGTGAGATTCAAGCTAAACCCTACCCCATATTGATAACAACTTATATATGATCCACCCTTGGCACCAATGCTTCGTCCAGGCAACAATGGTTGACCTCTGTGCCCGGGCTTGCCACGTTTTGCGTGCCAATTCCTTTCATTCGTAAAGCTTACCTTGTTTTGCGTGCTAGAAGCTTGTCTTGTTTTTTGTGCATCAAGCCCCCCTCGTATTTCGGGATGAACTTTTCGTGCACCGATACAGCCTTGTTTTGCATGCTTGGAAGGCTATCTCGTTTTATGTGAGTACAATCTGCCTCGATTTACTCAAGTAGAGTGTGCCTCTTTTTGCAAGTTGCGTTTTTTGTACGTCGAGAGCGCCTCGTTTAGCGTGATAGAAACCCGTCTTGTTTTTCATGAGTGGAGTTTGCCTAATTTTCTATGCACTGGCTTCGCATCGTTTAGCGTGCGCATAAAGCATCTCGTTCTGCATGCTGCAGTTTTTTTCGTCCGCCTAGCCCGTCTCATTTTACGTGCACTGAGCCCTCATTTCAGTGAGCAGAAAGCGCCTCGTTTTGCTTACACAGAGATTGCTTCATTTTTTGTGCAACTGGGATCACCTTGTTCTGAATGTTGCATTTTTTTGTGCACTGAGCTCGTCTCATTTTCTATGAGCAAAACCCGTCTCGTTTTGCGTGCATGGAGCCCGCCTCACTTTATGTGTGCCTGACTTCGCCTTGTTTTGCGTGTGCAGAGTCTGGCTTGTCTTGCATGCATTGAGCCAAACTCTTTTCGCATCTTTTTGCACCCACCGAGCAGGACTTTAAAGAAATATTTTGAGTGAGAGTTAAGAAAAATGTTTCTAGACCTTTGGATGTGATCCTAACATTTATTAGGTCATGAAACTATTTTTATTGATTTTTTAAGTTGAAAAATAGAAAAAATAGAATAAACTAGCAGTGGGTCCCCCAAAGAGATTTGTTGGTGTCAAAAATCTTGGAAATGTTGTAAATTAATTTTATTAAACATGTGGTACGACTAGAATAACTCAAATTTTCAGTTATATTTAATCTTTTAAAATCCTCAAAATTCATTAGAAAACGTAGGTATAACTCACAGTCGTTGTGAAAAAATTGAAATTTGTAGTTTTATGAAATATTTTGCGTATGAGTTAACGAAAATGTTGCAAGACCTTTGGATGTGGTCCTACCAGTTATTAGGTCTCGGAACTATTTTTTATTGATTTTTAAAGTTGAAAAAATAGAAAAATAATATAAACATCAAGGCCCCCAAAGAGATTTGTAGATGTCAAAAATCTTTGGAATGTCCTAAATTAATTTTAAAAAACATGTGTTGAGACTAGAATGATTCAAATTTTGTCTTATAATGAATCTTGTAAAAGTTTTCAAAATCGATTGGAAAAAGTAGGTTATATAACTCACAATTTATGTGAAAAAAAATTGGAATTTTTTTGTTTTATGAAATTGTTTACGTGGTATTTAACGAAAATGTTGCAAGACCTTTGGATGTGATTCTATCCTTTTTTAGGTCCCGAAACTACACTTCATTGACTATAAGGAAAAATAATGAAAGCTAACAGCGGACCCCTAAAGAGAATTGTAGGTGTCTGAAATTTTGGGAATGTCCTAAATGAATTTTAAGAAACATGTGGTTCGAGTAGAATGACTCTAACTTTGGTTTATAACGAATGTTGTAAATGTTCTCAAAATCAACTGGAGCAATGTGGGCAACTCACTGTTTTTGTGAAAAAATTGAAATTTTTAGCTTTAGGAAATATTTTGCGTTAGAGTTAAGGAAAATATTGCAAGAATTTTGGACGTGATCCAACCGTTCATTAGGTCCTGAAACAATTTTTTATTAATTTTTAAAGTTGAAAAATAGAAAAATATCTTCAAATTTAGGTTTTAAATCATTGATTTTAAGTGTTTAAATATGAATTATAATAGATTTTACACGGAAAAATATATTTTGAAGAATATGATAGTTTGTTGTTATGATAAGAGAAATAATAGAAATTTAAAATAAAAAAAAATTGAAAAGAGAGGATCGGTATCAAGCTAGCGACTTTATTCTTATAGAGTCACTAATCATATCAGCGACTCTCATGAAGTAGGATCGGTAGATACACCGATCGTATCATTTTCTTTTCTTTTTTTTCTCTTTTTTCTTTTTCCATTGAACTTTTTTTTTCCTACGTTACTTTATTTAGATTCAAACACCATTAGATTTAGATTTAGATTTACATCTTTGTTTTCGAATGTTTTGACATGGATTATAAGATAAGTTTCATCGAAAATATATTTTGTAGAACATGAAGATGATAGTTTAGTGTTGTGGTATAAGAAAAATGAAATTTAACAAAACAAAAAATAAAACAAAATATAAATAAAATTAATGGTTTAGGCGCAGAGAGACATAGTCCAAACTCACGCCCAAGCCCAAACTCATGCCCTCGGGAAGGTCGAAGGCGCAGTAGAAGCAGTGGACGCCTATGAGGTTTAGGCTTTAGGGGCATGTGAATAGTAACACTATGAGTTCAAGAGTTTAAGGGTGTGTGAATAATAACACCCTAAGTTCAGCGTTTCAGTGTTCAATCCAATCTTTTTTTAAGAAGGGGTTACTATGTTAAAAGATACGACTTTAGTGTGAATTCTATCATGGTTGATAGTGGCTTACAAATGCCCCACCCCCAGCAACAATGTTTCGTCGGCCAACCATGGCTGACCACTGAGATTAAAACTAGACTCTACCATCTATTGACAATGACCTATAAATGCCTACCCCGAAACCAATGCTTCGTGTGAGCAACAATGGTTAACTATTGGGATTAAAACTAAACATACCCCTTACAAATGCCCTACCTATGGCACCTATGATTCGTACAACAAACCATGGCTGACACGTGGGATTAAAACTAAACCCTACCCCCTATAAATGCTCTTACCCCCCCCCCCCACACACACACACAAAATTGGTTTGTACGGGCAACAATGGTTGACCCATGAGATTAAAACTAAACCCTACCACATACCACATACCACATATTGATAACAGCTTCTGTATGCTCCACCCCCTGACACCAAAGCTTCGTGCGGGCAACAATGGTTGACCTGTGCTCCCAAGCTCGCATTGTTTTGTGTGCATTGGTCCGTCTAGTTTAGTTTGTACCGGCTCGCCTCTTTTTGCGTGTTAGAAGTCCGTCTCGTTTTTCGTTCGCCGAGCCCGCCTCATCCTTTTGGTGAAATTTTTTATGTGCCGACCGTGCCCGTTTCGCGTGCGCGAAAACCTGCCTCGATTTGCTCGCATGGAGTAGGCCTCGTTTTGCGAGCCGCATTTTTTGTGCTTCGAGACCACCTTGTTTAGCGTGACTTATAGAGGGTACAGTCACTAGCGTGATAGCAACACCCTTCAAGGAGGATCGGTAGTGAAGTACTGATCGTATCCTTCTCTTCTTCTTTTTTTGTGGTTTTTTCTCCTTTTTTCTTTTTTCCATTGATTTTTTTTTTCTTCCTAAGTTACTTTATTTAGATTCAAATACCTTTGGATTTAGATTTATATCCTTGTTTTCAAATTTTTGACATGGATTATAAGAAAATTTTCACCGAAAATATATTTTGTAGAACCTTAAGATGATAGTTTAGTGTTGTGGTATGGGAAAAACAAAAATTTAACAAAAATACAAAATAAAACATAAAATTAATGATTCATGCGCAGGCGAAACTCACACCCAAGCCCAAACTCACGCGAGGTTCGACCACTCTGATTTTTACTGGGATTTGATGTTGGCTGCGTTGGGTTTGTAGTCAATACCTGTGAACTTTTCTTTTATTGAATGTTTTTCATCAAGATAGCAGCAACGGGTCAGTCCCCCAACTTCTGCAGCAATTCAGAGATAAGTGAGATGCAGAGTCAGCTGTTCATGGCCCATGAATCATGGGTGAAATAGTTATATATGTTAGCAAGATTTGTTACTGGTTGTCATAAGTTGCTATGTCGAGATTGACGCTCTCCATAACTATGTCTAGGAGGTTTCTGATAAAAAAAGGCACTGGATGACGAGAATCCAGCATTTCCTTCAAAATTTCAAAACTTTATTCTCTCAACAAAAGCCAACTAAGAAATGACTGCGATGATATTCGACGTATTACGCGTTAACTGTAATGGCGAAAACATTTAAAACTACAAGCAGCTACTAAGAGAAACTGAAACAAGGTTTGCACCTACTGTGGCACTTCGTCTTTCACAGTTCAACACGACAATTTGATCCAAATGCAAGGACAGGGGAGGAGTCTCAAAACTTTCTTTTAGAATGTGGAAGCACGGGAAGGAAGCTTTGCTCATGAAGCCACACCATTTTGTTCAAGATCGCGACTTCTGCCTTTGCGGCCCCAAATTGGAGTTGTCTCAATAAGCTGGTGAGGAACAAGCTTTCTTTCGCGCTTAGTCATCTTAATGAAATTCTTAACCTTCAGTTTGGCTATCTCCGCCTCCTCGTCAGGGGTAATCTCCCTTACTACGACCGTAAGGCGGCATTCTGGTCTCACTTTAACTCCACATTTGCCTTTGGCATGGTAGGACAGTCTCTTTTTGAAGAATCCCTTTCCAACAAAAGCCTCAGCTACAGAGAAAATGAGGAATAAAGATGGTTAAAACTGAAAAACAAAACAAAAAAGATGGGAAAAGCTAAACTTTATTTGCAGTATTTACCAACAAGGAGACGGTCTGGATCTAACCCATGATTATGAGTTGCATTTGCTCGGGCTGAATGAATGACCTGCAAATAGTAGTTTCTTCATTAACGTTGACATTCTGGAGTATATTTTTTTCATTTGAGTAAGAAATGAGCATAGTGAAAGCGTTACATGTGAAAACCCAGCCATTATACTGATACTGAATGATGATAACTAACTCCATAAGTATTCTTAATAATAAAAAACATGGTAAAGTTCTTGATGCCTTCACACCTGCCTTCTCACAATCATAAAATAAAAATAATAAAAAGAAAATCACCTTAAATGCTAATTCTATCCAGTTCTGCTCTCCTGACTTTCACACGTTTTTTACGTAGCATAGTGTGTGTGTGTGTGTGTATCGTGAATGTATTCTACTTAAAATGGTTTCTAGCACAACTAGGTGAAGAGTTGCTGTATCACCTGATACACAGTTTTTGAAGCTCGCTTTACTGTCACTTGCAACTGTAACAATGCATCTTCAACACGCATACCGCGTACCAGTGCAGCAACCAAGTTGACCTTTTTAGGACTCTGAGAGTGACAAATGGGTGAGTTAAAATTAATAAACGCAAGTCACTGATAAGGGGGAGAACTTGAAAATAGCATTAAACATACAACTTTTAGAGCAATTTATACGACCAGAGATCATTCACTTTAAACTGCACGAACATGAACTATTCAAGATACAGTTCCAATAGCAGGGACTATTAGCATCCAAGTTGAAGCGCACACACACAATTGGCAAAAGGAATAGTACAGAAGAACTCGTTCAACCCAAACAGGCATAATGTTTTCCTTTCTGAGAACTTGTTTAAAGTGACCAAACGCCCCACCCCGTCTTCTTTGACTCCTCCATTAGTCATCCATTCAAATGTCAATTTGGTCGTGACTTGCATATGAATGCTCTAACATTAATTTGATTACTGAGCAGCAACGGAACATCCTAATCACAACATAAGCAAATAAACCACATGGCAGAAAATGTGCTTCATGGCTCAATGCTTCAAAAACCAAATTCCAATAAAAGCATAGAATCCATTGCAAAGCCTTATAGCAATGCAACAACAGCACAATGCCATTACCTGTTTGATGCCCTTTAAGATCGCTTGAACTTTATCAGGTTTAGTGAGCGATTTCTGCTTGTGCTCTTCGTTTGTCGCAGTATTTGATGCCAAAACAGGAGTCAATGGAGATGGAAGAGGCGCTTCCTCAGCTCTCAAGTTTCTCGAACTCGAAATTCCCTGTAAAAACAAAAGCCACACAAATATTGACAATGCAGAGGTAAACACAACACTGTTAGAAATGAAAACACACACACACATATACATACATATATATATATATATATATATATATATATATATATATATTTGAGAATTACCAAGTGCTGAAAATATTGATGAAGGGGTCTTGAAATGGTTGGAGAAGATGGCTTGCAAAGAGTTTGGAAATAAGGCAATAGACCTGCAACATTAAGGTTCTGATTATTTAACACTTTCCCAAAACACCAAGTGAGAAAATTGGAGAATTCGAATAGATACTGACCCTCCAAGCGAGAAAAGGAAGAAGAAGAAGAGAAATTGGCTGAAGGGTTGTAGCTACATTCAACCCTTTTGCCAATTTGACGGATTGCTGATTGCAGATGCCTCTGCCAAGCCGCCATGGCTGCCGGAGAGAATTGCTTTCCACCTGCAACAATGGAGGAAAATACAGACATTTGTTATTGGATTTGGGCGTTTGGGGGAGAATCGGAGGTTGGGAAATCTGAAAGTTGAGTTCTTTGTGGGCCACCACCTACCTCAGCCTCGTTTCAACCGCGACGGACACCGCAAAGTCTCAAAGTGTGAAGAGTCTCAAAGCTCAGTTGCCGCTGCAAACCTAAATAATAGAGTAATAGACCCAATTTTCACTGTAATTTTACGGATAAAAAATTAATGGGTAAATCTCCGTTACTATCTCATGTTTCATTGTTTTCAATATTTAGTACATCAAGTTTTTTTCGTTACAGAGTTATACTAAAATGCAAATTTTGGGACAGTCTCATACATCTATTAGTCAAACTGTTAAGTCTCCTATTAACTGTGACATGGCGCCCACGTGAATAACAACTGGGTGCCACGTGGGTTCACGTGGATTTTTTTTAGAGAGGGGGTTTCAGTTAAAAAAAATAATTCAAAATTCACGACCCCCCATCTCCCCCAGAAAAGGTGAAAAGTGAAACCACTTTTCACTCCTCCAGAAAATTGCAACCCCCCATCTTCGTCTGAAACCCTACCAACGAGCCGTCACTCGACCTCGCCAACGTACGTTGCGCACACGTTTCTGGAAAAGATTGTCGTGAAGCTATCACTGACGATGGGGTGGGAAAAAAGGAGGATCGAAGTGGGTGAAACACCACTTTATTGTAACTAACCTACCTTTTTCGAAGTGTAGATAATATTTGTACCATACTTGGCCAATCCTGAAACTATTGAGCACCGGTCAACGTTATACCGTCAAGGACCCATAAGAGTTTCCCTCCAACCAGGAGGCCAATCACAGTGCGACACATGTCGACATCAGAAGCCAATCATAGCGCAACACGTGTCAACGTCAGAAGCCAATCACAACACGACACGTGTCAATGTGAGAATAAAACTAGAAACTCTCTTCTATAAATAGAGATCATTATCTCACAATATTTCCTAATGTCATTTGTACTAAATCATTCACTAGTACTCACTAAAGGAGAGCTTGAACCTATGTACTTGTGTAAACCCTTCACAATTAATGAGAACTCCTCTACTCCGTGGACGTAACCAATCTGGGTGAACCACGTACATCTTGTGTTTGCTTCCCTATCTCTATTCATTTACATACTTACCCACACTAGTGATTGGAGCAATCTAGCAAAGGTCACAAACTTAATACTTTCTGTTGTACTAAAGTCCTCACTGATTTTGTGCATCAACATTTGGCGCCGTCTGTGGGAACGACACCTATTCCCACTCTCTTCAGCTTTGCCAAGCTGGTTTCCACCATTCGTACACTATCTTTTGACCAGGCATCCCTTTCCAACATGGGGAGCGAAGGAAGTCATAGCACACAGAATGACACCCTTCTTGCACCTAGTGCGAAACAACGAAAGAAGGAAGAAAAAAAGGTTGCTCTTCAAGCTAAAGTCGATGAGCTAGAAGCTCAGAACAACAAGATAGCATGAAGAATGAGGTCCTCTAGGAGCAGTATGAGAAGCTTTTTGAGACGCTCCACGAAACTAAGCGTACTCAAACACGCGAGCTCGTTGCCCATGTGGACATCAACCATCATCTGGGTACCCCCCAACACGGAGGGTCACTTCCCTTTGACATGGGTATCCCTGATGAGGAGCGAGCTAATCATCAAAACATTGATCAACATGAGACTTCTCTTAACCCAGATGTTTCGACCCAAAGCAGGAGAAATGGAAGAAGACACCTCATTGCAGAAGGGTTGGAAGGATCGAAAGCCGTTTATCGTAACTGCCGAGACTTTCTAAAGCAACATCGAGAGAATCCCCTCCACATATGCTCGAAGATCAATAACCCAAGGGTTTCTGAAAGACTCGGTCCCCACGACCTAGGCCCGCTGCCAATCTAGGGAAGGAACAACAGGTCCCAAAGAAACATGAAGGAACATGGGACTCTGAGGTATTCCGACAGACTCGCCCTAGAAGTCATTACGGCAAGTCCAAGAAAAAACCACACGCCATTACTCAAACTTTCCTACTTCCAAGAGGCGGTGTAGACTTACGAAAGAAAATTCCAGTGGTACATGGCTCCACTCAGGACCCCCTTGTCCTACAGCTCCTTGAAGAAGTAAACAAGTTGAAGGCCAAACATCAGGCCGAGATACCTGACTGGAACCAACCCAGGCCTGACCCTCTCATAAGGAGGATCCTCGACACCCCCTTCAAGCGAAGACAAAACAAAAGCTTGGTTTACAACTATATACTGGAAGAGAGGAGCCAATTGAACACCTTAACCTCTTTGAGTCCACCATGGCATATCGGATGCACACCGACAAAGAGCGATGTCTTCTCTTCCCCTCCACTCTCTCTGTCGAAGCTCTAAACTGGTATTGTTGTCTTCCACCTAAGACAGTAGACTCATTTGAGGAACTGAGGAAACTGTTTGTTTCTTAACACATCTTCCAGACCGATAGCTTGCATTCTACAGATGACTTGTACACTATTCGCCAGTAGCCGGATGAGTCGCTACGAGAGTATGCTGGTTGTTTCAGCCATGAGTATTCTCGTTGCGTTGAGGCAGATGACAAGACCACCCTCAAGGCCTTCACGGCAGGCCTACGTGATTGTTTCTTCAAGTACATGATCAATGCCAACACTTGGAAGACTTACTCTGAGGTGATGGCACAGACTTATAACCACGCCTCCGCCTAAGTAAGGACATACCAAGGGAACCTCCATATGGTTAACCCCTATCAACAAGTGGGAAGTGGAAGTCAAGTTCTACCAAGTGAGGAGATCTTGGCCATTCAGACACCCATTGCATCATCTCCTGCCTCATTTAGCTACTCGCTAAGTCACCAAACGTATTTGTCTCTTGGTAAGAGGAATGATATTTACTCTCAGCAAGCTCATTACAACAAGAGGGATAAAAGTTCGTATCAAGACTAGGTGTGAACGTACCGTCGACTATTATGATTATGGGGCCAAGCTTCACTCTTTCAAAGTGGAGGACTAGGTACTGAAGGAAATGCTATTATAAGAAGGCATACACATTACAAATGTTTTGATTCTCAACCGCTTGAGATCTTTTGTCACACAAGCCATTCGGCAAATATTTAAAGAAGAGGGAATTAAGACAACTTCTTCTGAGTCTCCAGATGCAGGTTTGCCTGGCTGTGTGACAAAAGACTCAGAAGAAGTTGTCTGAATTCCAGAGAAGATACCATATCTGCCTGAGGAACAGATAGGGCAAGTGAGAATGATACAAGGAAGCATGTGGAGACAAGCGTAACAGAACACGTGCCGATACATCCACTACTTTGTCAACAGTAAAAGTATCCCATATCATCAGGGTCGAGCGTACTCTAGATTTGATGGACTTGTTTTGACCCTCAAATTCTTGAGTCGGCCTTATACTCTGAAGGAAACCAGAAAACCCTCCAGCCTAGTTCAAGAATAAGCCTGTGGAAAGTTACTTCTTCAAAAGCAAAAGTATCTCATATCTCTTCTCTATTTGTTTCTCCTTATCCTTGGTGCTATTTACGACATAAGGAGAAGGAGAACAATCAACCGGAAGCCGAAGTTGAACCTCCGATCCAAGTTGCTTGCTTGGAAGTCTAATTGTTTACCTTGTCTGTTATCTCCTTCGGCAAATCTCCTAGCTCGGCGACTTGGGGGACTCCTACTATAGGGTTTGTATCGCACTTGACCAAGCCCGAAGCTACAAGTAAGCTTCAAGTGAAATTGATACATTACCTTGTGCATCTCCACCGGTTAAAGATACCACCCCTGGATTGAGGAAGAGTACTTCCAGAGAAGATGCCACATCTACCTATGAGACAGATAAGGCAAGTGAAGACGATACCACACTTCGGTACTTAGAAGTTTCATGATTACTCAGCGGCTTGGATCTTGCAAGTCCCCAACCGAGAAGCTTCCCTCACTCGGGAACTTAGGGGAGCACTGTTTGTACCATACTTGACTAATCCCGAAACTATTGAGCACCGGTCAACGTTATACCGTCAAGGACCCAGAAGAGTTTCCCTCCAACCAAGAGGCCAATCACAGCGCGACACGTGTCGACATCAGAAGCCAATCATAATGCGACACGTGTCAACATCAGAAGCCAATCACAACACGACACGTGTCAATGTGAGAATGAAACTAGAAACTCTCTTCTATAAATAAAGATCATTCTCTCACAATATTTCCTAATGTCATTTGTACTAAATCATTCACTAGTACTCACTAAAGGAGAGCTTGAACCTATGTACTTGTGTAAACCCTTCACAATTAATGAGAACTCCTCTACTCCGTGAACGTAGCCAATCTGGGTGAACCACGTACATGTTGTGTCTGCTTCCCTGTCTCTATCCATTTACATACTTACCCACACTAGTGACCGGAGCAATCTAGCGAAGGTCACAAACTTAACATTTTCTGTTGTACCAAAATCCTCACTGATTTTGTGCATCAACAAATAATATGGGTTTAGATTTTCCGATTTTTCAATTTTGAATTTTAAGGATTAGGGATTTGTGAGTTCCAATCCCTTTTTTTTTATTTTTGTATGGTTTCTAGAATTGTGTTTTGTAGTGGGTTGTGCATGTGGTTTTGTCTTCAATCGTGGTCCCCATGGTTTTGTTTTCACCTTTTTTTCTATGGTTTTGGGAAAAATGGGGGAACTGTATTCATGGTCCCCATGGTTTTGTTTTCACCTTTTTTCCTCATGATCCTACTAGTGTTTTCACCTTTTTCCCCATGTGTCTCCAGGATTTTATGTTGTTTTCACCTTTCTCCTTGACTTTGCAGGAATTCCTGAATTATTTAACCTTAAAATTAACGACGGTGAGAAGTGGTCTGAAAGTGCATATACGGGAAGGTTTGAGGCTTGGTTTGATTATGTAGACAAAGACTTCATGTCTTTTTTCGAGATTGATGAAATGGTTAAGGAGTTAGGATATGATGGGTTTATATTGTATCACTATAGGATTCTTATGATGTCTTATTGGGAGGGATTAAGGCTTGTTGAACAAGACCAAGATGTGGCTGAAATGTGCAAGTATGTTCCAGGGGTTAGGGAAATAGAAATGTACCTAGAACATCTAAATCCGAAGCAAGCTGCCTTGAAACATAAGCTTTTGATGAATTTAGATGAGAGTGTCATATTAACAAAAGGTGTCATTATAAA